ATATATATATACATATATATATATATATATATATGTATATATATATAGGCCTATATATTTCAATATACATACTATATACAATAGCATTCTGTACCATTAAATTTTCAGAATGACGTAATTAATGCATGTTTTAAATTTCAGGACAAATGTCATTATTAGATACTATCGTTTATAAGAGAGGCATAACAGTACAAAATACGCTTACTGTAATATAACGTCCATGGTGACATTATTTTTAAATTGTACTGTAGAAATAGCATTTTAATAACCCAGACTTAATCTTAATTAATCGAATGTTCATCTACTGACCCATAAACTGAATGACCTTGATTGTATTATCTTTCAATTTTAACTCCTGTAGTCGTGTCTCGTAGCTGTTGTTGTACCAGACCCAGAAACTTTACCCAGATTGGCAAAAGCACACAGAGTAGAAGGGGACTACGAAGTTATGTGTAAAAGCGAGGTAACAACTAGGAGGATATAACTTGCGTTTTATGAGGCAAAATGATATTTTTATATAGATGTGATATGATACAATTACTGTCGCACGTATTTGTCACATAAATCAGAAAAAAGTATGTTTACTAGGCTTGTGATCGTCTTTTTTTTTAATTATTAAAATGGTTATTTATTTTTAGGTTTTGAAAACTGCCATATTTGAAGATCTTCGTAAACTCGCAAAAGAATCTGGATTAAAATCCTTCGAGCAGGTACGAAATGATCAAAAACTAAGTCATGATAATCAGAACATAAAATTAGATGTCTTGTTTTTCGAGTATAGAAAATTCATAATGGACTTTTCCAGAGTGTCCATCAAACTTAACTACTGACCGATCAGATCAGGGCATGGAATACGTGCTTGTCTCACAAGCACTCGTATTGACCCACAGACGCGCGTTTACGTAGAAGCAACAATATCAAGGCCTAAGGGGCGCGCTTATTGGAAAGGTCTGTTACTGGAGGTAGGCTACCCACCCAATGTTAACATGTATCATCAATCAACATATCTTCACTATTAACATCTCTATCCTCTTCATTTTCACCTGTTCCAGAGCACCATACAGCCTTCCACCAATCCCCCAACGACATAGTGTTTGTACATCATCTGCATGTCTTAATGTATAAATATTTTTGTTCTATAGGTCAAGGTTCTCCATTTGACGTCGGAAGCATTTAGTATAGAGAACAATTTACTGACGCCAACACTCAAGTCCAAGCGTGCAGTACTTAGAAATTACTTCAAAGATGAGGTCGAGAAGATGTACGAAGCCGTTAATTCATAAGCCTATATGGCTCGAACCAACCCAATCGGTACTACTACGAGATCAAGTGGAAACACGAGATCAAGTGGAAACACAAAGTGAATCGGACTCAGCTCCTTCGCTATTAAAAATTCTGAATCCGTAGGCTTACTTAGACAATATAAACAAACAGGACAGGACGCAAGTGTTCGGAACTATTAAATTTGATAATAATAAGGGTTCTTTTATTTATCAATCGTTTATGAAAATGTGTTTGATCAGTTACACAATTATAATTATGACTAATGGGAAAAGATTTTCAGGAAAACATGACTTAAAATATATATAGAGATAAATGGATATTATTATAGAGGCCTGTGTAAAAATGCATTGGAATATAAGTAAATAATTAGGTTTTGGCCTACTTGCATTTTAGCACCCATATGCAAAGTTTAATTTTTAAGGAAAAGTGGGATAGCAATAAAACATTTATATTTCGATATTGTTTTAGATATTCTTTTTGTCGTCTTCATATATTTCAAGGAATTTAAATCATATGTCTACAAAAACACAAAACGCTGTCACCATAAATACCACGTGCAGCTAAAATGTGTGTTTTGCTCATTTTAAGGTTATTATATTCATAACCGCTATGAACACTAATTATTATATTAAAGAAACTAAAAGTAAACAAAATAGCTCGGCTCTACTGCCGTCTCAAATTTCTAGAGCGAGAACTCGCGCTAATATTCTATTTGGGAGCACGTAACGGGAGAACGTAATTACGTCACTAAAAGTCATTTGCGCATGCGAGAACGTTAAGGTCACCTCGCGTCGAGTAGATTCTGGAACGCAATTTGGCCAAATCTACGTAAGCAGATAACGCCAGGTAGAACGGTTACGCATGAGTGATTCCGTTCTAGCGTCGCGTCATCGCACAAAAGCTCCCTATTGTCATGAGCCAAAGGATAAAAGCGGACCCGAAATTAAATACAGTACATCAGAATTAGCCTCTTTGTTAAAACGAAAAGACAACCACGAAAGACAATCGTGTCAGTGTTTACTACGGCTAGACGTGCCACAAGTCACTTATTATGGGACGCCAATTAAATTTGGTATGGCGCGCACTAAGTGCAATAAAAGTTAGTAACCTTAATTTAGGGCTTTGAGCCCACACTATACCACGACCTGTAAAACACATTAGGACCACGAGATGATTCTATACACAATTGTGGTTTTGAAACGGATATGGGCTAAACCTCCTTGGCCAGTATACTGAACTGCGCACGGGCGTGAACCGTGACTACTGTTATTGCTGCCGCAGAAAGATAATTGTAGCTTCATAGAAATCAGAAAAGAATAACTCCTACTCTTCCAAAAGATATAATGGTTCTTCAAAGTACACATTTTAACGGAAATGTATAGGTTAAACGTTCCCTGCGTCCAAAATTATTGAAATATATTTACCGATTGAAAATAACACACACAAATATTCACAAATATTTGTTCAATTGATTTATTCAAATTACATTATTAACAACTGGTAGTCTATGTAGTCTCACAGGAAACGAAAAACAAACAATTTAATAAGACACCGATATTGAAAACAGACGAGAAAAATACTAAGAATCCAAAAAGTAAAAACAGTACAAAAACAAAAACCGAAAGGTCCACGGATTTATCTCAGATAAGATAGTACAGTATAATTATACTCCAAGTATCGAAATGCACGCCATCGTGTCGGGATTCAAAAACAATACCTCGATTTTCAAGTCAATTCTAAAAAATCCGTTTTCATGGTGGAATTGCTTACAGGCATATAGTAGTTCCTCCAAAAATCACTACGACAATACACAAAACGTTACTTTTCAATAAACTTTCATTCTATCTACCAACAGTAAATTTCTACGATAGTTGAGGCAGTTCAATCTAAACGACAGCAGACGACCATTGATCATAGCGCCCTCAATTTGCTTTCTATTTCTCATATTTTTGTTGAAAATTTGCATCGGTTTTCTGTTGCTTTATAGTTTTTGTTGGAAATAAAAATCGGTTCAAATTTTTTAGGGTTTTGTAAAGTGAAAATCGCGACGATTCAAATTATGCAGGTAACTGCTCAATATATTTTATTATCGTTGTATAGCACAGTTCTTACTTATTATAATACATGAAGTACAGTATGTTAAAATTTATTCATCAACTAGGCCTACTCGGATTTTACTGCTCAAGTTTTTATTGAAAATTAAAATCTCAACAATAAACCAATCATAGATTTATTTCACAAATGTCATTGAATTAATTATGTGCACGAAGAAATTGAAAACAAAAAAACAAAAATTACTGTCACCATAAACATAATAAATATATCAATTCATGACGTATATATTAATTGGTGCTATCGTTTCTTATAATTAAATAACTGAAAGAAGTATAAGGCATCGGAAATTATTTTCATTGTACATACGTTACAGCATATATGCATCTTTTATATCAAGGCGTCAGTGGCATATGTAGGGGAGGGATTGTACTCCCCCTAAAAAAGCTTGTGCCACAGTCATGCCCCCATCCACTGAAAATGTTTAAGCAAAAAAAAAATCACGCCCAAGTAGATAAAAATCAACTCACAACACCTTATTTTGCCACCCCTCACTTAACCATCAAGCACCCCAACTTAACTTCCATGGGCCATCAGCCCCCACCCCCAATTTAAAGACTCCTAGATGCAATCTGCTAAGGCATAGTTTTATTAAAACACATATACTGTAGTTCTTAAAACAAAACTATATCCTTGCTCTAAAGAGTTATTACATCATATGGTCTCACACCCCATATGTAATGGGTCTGCACAAATTTTCTTGCACAATACGGTATCATTAATGCACCACAAATGGTTCATACACCATAGCAATTATGTAATTGTTCATATTCCATATATGACATGTGATGTTACATAATACCATAATGTCTTAATTTATGCATACATCCTTTAGAATGTATGAAAATTACACTCTACAAATAAAGTTGTCAAAAGTGAGGTTTCAAAAGTGAAGTAGTAGTTTACTGTTGACATCTCACATATGTCGGCGTAATTGATATTTTGAAAATTCCCTTATAAAACTGATCAGCTAAAATTATGAGGAAAATAGAAGAGACTAGAAGTTTTGGAAAGATTACATTCAAATCTATATATTATATTAAAAACTAACTATATTTAAATTTCATCCTCCTCCTCCTCATCTTCATCCTCTTCTTCCTCATCCTCAGTTACCTGCAGAAAAAAAGATTTATTTAATATTACAGAATCCCATTCTTGATTTTTAGTATTATCATCTTAAACTTTGCTAAAAATATAGCTGTTACAATCATCGCCAGAACTCCCACCATCTCCTGATTGCCTGCTACCAACACTACACCACCATGAACAACACTGACTTCCACTACAACCATCAGGGGCGGATTTAGGGGGGGGGGGCCAGCCCGGCCCCAGCCCCCCCTTTTGGGAGGTCAAAAAAGAAAAAAAAAGAAAAAAAAGAGAGAAAAAGGAAAAAATGATGGCCAAGAATGCCTCAAATGTTATGTTCGGGCGTCTAGAACACAAAAATTTCGCGGGGGCATTCCCCCCGGACCCCCTACGACAGTGTTGTCTCAATCGGCCCAACTTTCGGCCCCCCCCCTTTTGGACATTTCTGGATCCGCCCCTGACCATCATCACTTGACCAACACGATAACCATCTGACATCAATAAATCCCGACCACTAATATCACCTCACTGACCACCACTACCATGATGGTCTAGCATCTGACGACCACTACCACCATCACCATCATCTCTATCTTGTAACTGCTACATTCTGCACAAACGCCTGGCGAGGCTATCCCACGCAGTACTTGCCATCATGTTGATGACTAGTACTTCCACTACCACCACTCATGCTACTGTGACCAGTCACCTGTCTGGTGATAGTGGTCTTAGTATCACCTTACAGACCACCATTCCAACCGCTACCACAACCACCAGACTGACCATCACCACCACCAACAAGACTGTCTTACCTCTTCTCCGAGCTCTTTCAACTTTTTTCGGTATTCATCCACTTTATTGCTTGTATCGGTCAAAAGCACTAGCAGATCATCCAGCTCCTGTTTGCTATCTGCTGCCTCCTTCTTACACATCTCCTTCTCAGACTCTAGTTCATGCAGCCTGTCTCTCATATCATCAACCTCACCCTGCAGTCTTGTTGCCTGACTTGTTGAACTGGAACAATTTTCGGTTAAGGTTTTAAGTTGACTTTCTAAATTATGGTTTGTACTAATCAGTCTTTGGTTATCAGTGCTTAGCTTTGTGTTTTGGTCTTCAGCTTGGGCAAGCAAGGCCTGAGTTTCTGATTGTTTGGCTGTCAAGGCAGCTTTCTCTGCCACCAGGCTTGAATGGTCTCCGCTTGGGGCAGCATCAACCTAAGACAAGAAATAAATATCAAGTAAAATATGATCTACACAAAAAATAGTCTAAATCTGCCTAGATATTGTTTGATCAAAACAGGTTAAGATGTCGTTTATAATTTTCAACATTTCCATAAGAGTTCAAAACATACCCTTTTCTGTACACACTCTCCTGAAAGATTACACAATAAAATGTTGATTTGTGTCATTTTGTAGATCATCATATTATCTTTTTCATAAAAGAGTACTTATGCCTACACTTCCACCCACTCCACCCCAAAAGCATATGTTTTGTACTCTTTTGAAAATGTTGAAAATTATGCATGGCCCCTAAACAAGAACTTAAAAACTTACTGCCAGTGACAACTGTGTTATCTGCCTAGTGAGGTCAAGACATTCACCCTTTAACCTTTGTTCCTCATCCTTCTGAGCTGCAACTATCAAATTGAATTCATCTATTTCTTTCTTCTGCGCTTGTATAGTAGACTGAAGTTCTACCACTTGGTTCTGACTTGCGCTACTGCCTTCAGCAAGAACAGACTTGGCATCAGCTATTGTTAAGTCATTTTTCTGTTTGAAAACAAATTAAAATATATATGTATATATAAATATATATAAAATGACATAAACACATGAGTTATCTCATAAGCTCCTTATTAAATTTTTTCTACTTCATGACGAAAACATTTTGCAAGCAGTGCAATTTAATTCACTGAATACGCTTTCAATAGTAAGTCGACACGCACAATGCGCTTCACTGTGGACTGAGAGTCAAGTGTGCAATTGTTTTGGAATTAAGTAAAGGGTGTTTCCACAAACTAACAAAAACATTTTTTTTTATCAAATTACTGTACCACAAAAAGCCTACCACCTACTGTACCTTCTCCATCGCACTCACACATGCTGTAACTTTGAACACGTTAGATAATGGAATCACGCCGGTACTGACACGCGAACCGCTCAGAAAACTATGGTGTTTTTTTACAAAAACTAACTTTACAAGCTGCTCGTACCAAAAAACTGTAAATCTAAAAATGCTTAAAACTTACATCATAAGAATCTATCTTTTTCGGTAGCCAATGATCATAATATTAGTGTTTAAAAATATGGATAATGTAGTCATTCTGCCTGGTATTCAAGAGAGCGCTGTATCCATGTCAGCATCATATGGTTATATGCTTGTAATGCAAGCGTTTGGGGAGGAGTTTTCAAGGGATTTCATAAATTTGATTGGTCCGATGAACCTACTAAACCAATCAAATTTAGATATGATTTAGAGGACAGATTAAGCTTTCGACTGGAGTTTCCCTGGTGAAAATCGACCAATTTTGAGGGATTAATGTTAAAGGTAGCTATTATGAGATTTCAGCCAATTTTACTGTTTTTACGTTGGAAAAAAAAAAAACATGAGTGTGTCTGATTAAAATCCGATGAATGTGCTATGAATACAATTATAATTTTATAATCATTGTAAAAATTAATAAATTCTGATTTGTTTTATTTTTCCCCCAAAAAATTGATTAAGCATGAGCAAAGTTATTACAAGAAGTTGAAAAATTGCCATATTTAGGGGTTTTTGACAACATTCACTAGCACTTAGTCAAATTTTAGCGTAAAATGTTATTGTAATGTTCCGAATTCATATAATTTCGTCCTCGTAACATGACTGAGGGTGCACGTCATCAAATGACATCAGCTAACAATGATATGAACCATCTTTAATTAATCCATTACATGATAACGATCACCAAATTATGTAAAGAATACAAATTTGCCTTAGTTAAATTTTCAACTACAAAACTTAAATTAAAGACAAATAAAAATATTTGAAAAAGCATATATATTATCACATCAGCATATATGTTACATGTTCAACTGGTCTTTTTTTTTTTTGCAGCTCCAAAACTTTGGAATTCTCTTTCACCTAATTTAAGATTTCTGATACTGAAACTTATCTCTTTTCATCAATAATTCCAATATGTTGTAATATCTCTAAGTGTCAGTGACAATTAGCATTTTTTCTATAAATGAGACATGTCGTGGTGAAATGGATAAGTTGTCGCACATTCCAGTATTGAGTAAATGAGCTATAAAATATGGGAGCTCAAAAAATTGCATAAAATTCCAAATTTGTTTTTCATTATAGATCAACAGTTTAATATCTTATTAATCATGTCCCAAAGTATTAGTTCTGGAAGTGGCCAACAAATTGTTTATTTAACGTTATTTGGATAGTTCATTCTATTAGACAGTGTATGCACAAATAACTTTGAAAGGCAATTACTCAAAATCATGTTCATCTTGACTAAGAATACTGTACTTTCACTTTCCAATAACTTGGGCTTGAAATGTCCAATTTGAATGAATGACCCCTCGTTTTAAAGACCACATACTCAGGTATTTGAAAATACCAATAACTTTAATTTCAATTTTTACTACAACATGCCTTAAAAGACTCCTATTTATCAATAATCTCAACATTCGCACCAATTTTTCTATAATATCGTCCTTTTCTTTTATCTCCCTGTTAAGTACTTGTTGATTTTCTCTTAACTCCTTAAGTTCAGCTGCAATTCTTAAGGCATCTTCACCGTTACCACCTGCAGGGAATATCAAAATGAAATTGCAAAATACGATTAAAAATAATGGAGGAATGTACAGTAAGTTTAAATATATAGCAAAATGTAAATTTCTTTAAGTAATTTTTAATTTAATATTTAAAAATATTATAAATATATATGAGGTTTCACCACAAAATGAGTCTCATAGTTGGAAAATAAAGAATTGAGTTTTACAGCATATTTGAGTAAAATACATTATAAGCTTTTGGTCTTTGAATGGCTTCCCTAGGATAAGTACTGTAGACCTAGAGGTGAGCATCTAAAGTTCAGATGTATGAGAACCACACTTTGATGAAATCAGCCTCAAAGATAAACTAACCTGTATAAATCATAAGACTAAAAGTACAAAATATTCATGGAGAACACTTTTACTGTACAAAAATCCACTCAAATATGTAAGCTATAAAAAAAAGAATTAAAAAAGAAATTAATTAAAATAAATAATTTAAAAAAAATATATAAGTATCAAATTATTTTTAAAAAACTGAAATCAAGAGGGGATAAAAATGTTGGTGAATATCTCAATATGACAAATCTCATTGTGTGGTGAGACCTCAAATATGATAGTAAAATATGTGTGAAAGGGGCATAAGTCTAAACCTACCCTGTGCTTTAATGAGTGTGTACTGGTCTTTAAGTTGTTGTATTTGTGAGGATTGTTCATTCAACTGCAGTTCACATGCTTTATGCTCTTTCTCAAGTGTCTTGTGTTTACTG